TTTTTTTTCGTTTTTTACTAAAAAAAAAAAAATAAATAAAACAACCCACTAAAAAAATAATAATTTTTTATTTTTTATCAAAAGAAAGAATGTCCTCAAATTTATTAATGCAAGTTCCTATTACTACTACTAAGGGCGCCAAATTTGCGCCACCACTTTCACCACCTTTATCTCCAGATTCAAATATTTTTAAAAATTCGGAATCATCATCACCGTCATCATCATCATCATCATCATTGTCTAATATTATAAATGAAGTTGAACATGTCGAGATTATTTCCAATAAACCAAAACCAAAAAATAAATATAGAATGAGACTTTGTGATGCTCCTCCGGAATTACTGGAAATGATAAAACGTTCAGAAATGAAGAATGAAAAGTCTTTACCGGAAAAATCTATCACTTCTAATACCGTTGTAAAGACCGTTTCAACATCAACTATAACAAATAATTCAAGTTTTCATAAAATTATTACCTCTGATGAAAAAAGGCACAGATTTAGAAAGAATCCTTATCCAAAGAAAGCTCCTTCTAAATCATCTCCTGGGATCACCCTTCAAGTGGATGTTTACACGACACTTAAAGAAGATCCAAAAGCTTTATTGAGAAGAAGTGATTCATCAACAACATCCTCAATTTCATCTAGTAGTTCCTTTTTATCATCATTCAATGATAGTTCATCAGGTACAGAAAGTTCTCCACCACAATCACCACAACGTTCTTCATCAAAGAAACAAATCACTAAAACTAAAACAAAAACGAAACGAACAAAACCAATTATATCTGAAAGAAAACGTAAAGGTAACAGTCTCGCTAGAGTTATGGCAGATCGTGGTCTCTTAGAATCAACCTTAACTCCTATAGTTGTAGCAGGAGAAATTAAACCAATTCGTATACCACCACCTCCACCAATGCAATTTGATGAATTAATGAAAAATATTGAACAACTAAATCTTGATTTAACTGTACTTCAACGTATAAACCCAAAAATCAGTTGGAAAGGACAACCTTTATCCATCTTGCATTTACCTCATTATAATTCATTACATTCAAAAGAAGCTCACGTAGCTTCAACTTTAAGACTTACTCCTGTTCAATATTTAACAGCCAAACACACATTAATTTCATCTGCAAGGAGGTATGTACAAAAATCACTTCCGTTCCGTAAGAGTGATGCACAGAAACTTCTTAGAATAGATGTTAATAAAGCAAGTAAACTCTGGGAATTTTTTATGCAAGTAAAATGGATTTAATTAATTTAAGATTGTGTTATCATATAATGAAACGTTGAAAAAAAAAAAAAAAAAAAAAATATATATTTCGAAGTATGCCTTCGAAATGTTGAATTCCGTCCGTCCAAAGACCAAGGAGCCGTTCGAGATATTTTACAAAATCCAAGTGATCGACATGTGGCTCAGCATCGCGACAACAATTGTTAACTATTGTGATTGAAAAAGTCAAATTTAACTTTTTTATATTATAAATCGTATAAATCGCAAATCGCATTCTGAATTAGTAATATTGATACCCTTAAAAAGAGAATTTTAANCCTCTTATTATAGTTAAGATTAAACTATTTTTAAATTTTTTTTTTTAATCTTCTTTTCCCCACTCATGGTATCTTATAAGCCACACACATACATTAAATGAGCAAACATACATTATTAAATGAAAATAATAAAAAGATTTTTAATTTAAACAAATTGTAAATATATAATTACATAGATTTTCTCTCTTACTTCTTATTATGGAAATTGATTCTTACTTTAACATTTTTTTCTTTTTTTTTCCTTTTCTTCTTTTCTTCTTTATATTTTCTCATTGTAAAATTCATGATGAAAAATATCATCGGTATAGATCCGAATCAATAAATTAAAAAAAAAGGGTTAAGCATTTTTTTTTTTTGTGCCTACTTACATACTTACATACTGCGTAAAATAATGAATTTTTCTCACGCTCATTAACTTCCTGCAATAGGATGTGCATTTGGTTTATTATTATTAAAAATTTATAATAAGTTAAAATACGCATTTAAAAAGGATTAATTTAAAGTTATATCGGTTTTATTGAGGAAAAAATCGTAAATTGAAAAAAAAAATCAATGAAATTTCACCATTTTTGTTAAATTAAGTTAAATGATTATTATGCTGAAATCTCTCCAAATTTCTCGAAATTCTATTTATGCATTAATTGTCTTGCATTTGATAAAATTGTGAAATTCACAGAGCATCGCATTATCTCTCTCTTGATAATCTCATAATACTGCGGACTAAAATAGAAAATAAATTATTTTATTTTATTTATATAAAAACAGGCAAATATCCTAATGGATAAATTAATTATCTCTTTTGGTATCAATGATCATCATTTTACTTCTTTTTGAAGTTCGGTTTCGAATTTACTTTTTGTTCATTTCATTGACTTTATTGGTATGGATTATGTTTGTGGTAGTTGTCCTTTGTTTGTCAAAAACAAGTCAGAAAATCAAAAAGAAACGTTTGGTGTAAAAAAAAGTTTTTTTTTTAGTTTTTTTTTTTTTATACGTTCTTTGTGTTTTTTCTTCTTATTTCTCATTTCTCATTTTAATTTTTATTGTTATTTTTATTTTTTTGATTTATGCAAATTTAGTAACTTGTTTACATTTTAATAAAAGTCATTTTACTTGGCGATTTTCAATACTTGGCAAAAATTTTTAACGAATATTTTTTATTCATTAGATTCTTAAAAATAATTATACATTAAAATGATGGATGTACGGCTTTTCCGTACTTTTGCATTTCATAAACATTTTTAAACGGTTATATTAAAATTAAAAATATTTACGAACGATTTATTTTTTTGGCTAAAAATTGGGCGCAGTGATAAAATCGCCATTTAATAAAAAAAAAAAAAAAAAA